TCTGGCATTCGTGCTTGTAATCATCATAGGCACCGTTTGATGTTGAATAAATGAATTAACTTTATTTATCCACGGTAAACGACTCAGTAACACTGCTTTTCAGGCGTGCCGTGCTAGAATTTAAGCAATAAATACAATTAATAAAAATACGCAAGTGATTATAGAAAATCCCTCGCGCTGATTGGTCAAGAAACTCACACTATCACACGATAGTCACCTCGAGCGAAAATCCAAAATGGCGGCCAGCCGCTTTGTTGCTGTTACCGGAAAAAAATGCCTTTTATCTTTTTTTTTTCGTTTTTTTTTTTGAAAGAATCACCTGTGTATTTATACTAAAACAATTATTTGCCTCAGGCTCAGTAATTATTGGGGGAATATTTACCTCGCCGCTCGAAGACTCGCGTCTTCGTAAATATTCCCCTATAATCACTTCGCCTTCGGCGAATAATTGTTAGATAAAGAATATGAAATTATCTATCTATTTATATATGTATTGATATATTTAACAATTATTCGCCGAAGGCGAATAATTGTTTTAGCATATACCAACTTGTGTACAGAGTAACTTATTTTCATATACAATAATTCAATAAAAACAAACAAACAGAAACTTTTAGTTTGCTCGACAAATTCACGCAAAACTTTTAGCAAAACTTTTAGCAAAACTTTTAGGCCATACTTCGTTGCCTTTTTAGTATTGATAGGAATGGTATTTACTTTAATTTTTTAATTTCCTCGTCGGAAATTGTAGATTACCGGCAGATGCCATTTTTTTCGCGACTCAAAATTCAGAGGTGAATATCGTACAATATTCACCTCCAATTAACCAATGAGCGCGCGCGTTCTTAGGAAGTACACAAGTTGGTATATGCTAMATATCAATATTCTAGGAAAGGCATTATTTGCGTTATCTTGAACAGTTATTTAAAAAAAATGTTGAATACTGAATACCTCATGCTTTTCAAGTGAGGGCATTCATCGGATTGCTCTCTATTCAAAGTCCTTTGAATATTATTAAATTATCTATACAAGTAATGGATAAGTGGTTATCGAGAGCGTGAGAATGTCTCATGGCTCTATAGAAAGTGACACTTCGCGGCAAACACGAAACCAAAACAGCAAGCTTCGTTGCGTTTGACATGATACTGAATACAGATCATGTTTTTCTTCTCCAAAGCGGACCAAAATCCCGCGTTCAACTACACCCTGACGTGGTTCCACAAGCCGTCATAGACTGGTTTGAGTCTAGGTGCTCTTATAGAGCGATTATGTACGGTTTTGGGTTGGCTGCGGTTTCTGTTTAGAGCATTTGTGCGTCTGTTTGGCCTCGGGCCTTGTTCAGAGGTAAGTGTGAGCAGCTCTGTGGACTAGAGGTCCGGGTATCTGGGTGACACATGGTGTCGTATGATGTTTTTCGCGGGCCTTGTAAAAACGAATCGTTGCGACATTCCTGCAAGGGAGACGAAGGTTGAGTTTGACCCGTCATCCATCCATTATTTAATCACTTACCTATGTTTGCCAGTCAAACATCTAAGCGCAGTAGTAACGTAACTATGTGTATGCCCCGTGCCTTGATGATACGAGGGGGTGGGTGGGGTCGTAGATGAATGCAATTTCTAGTGTACGGCAACTTCTATTTACAAAGTTTTAGAATCTTAATAAATTCTCGCCTAAACGCTGGGTTCATCACTCCATATATAACAGGATTGATAGCACTGCTGCCGGCCATGCTATATGTCACGATCATATGGACCGCACCCGATAGCCGTGTCATGCTAGACACTAACACCACAATGAGAACCGGAAACCATGTCGCGCAATACCCCACTAATACTGCAAACATGGTCCACGTGACCTTGATTTCTTGTCTACACGTGCCCAGGCTGTTTGGGTTGGACGGAGGAGCGACGTTTCTCTTGTGTTCCCGTATCTTTTTAAAAACTTTGTAATAGCAATAGACAATAATCGTAAATGGAACCAAAAAGAAAATTACGATGGCTATGTTGAAAAATATGCTAGATAGCGACGTTTTTTCCCCTCTAGTAAGATTGCACATAATCTTATTTGCCTTAAAATTAGCGAAGACAATTTTCCCATCCGTAATAACCGAAACTACGATTATGACGTGGATCACCCAAACAGCGACGATCATGGCTAAAGAATTCTTTCGGTTGAAATATTTTGCGTATTTGTGTGGCTTACAGACACGAATAAACCGGTTGACAGCCATTAGGACAATGTTTGTTATTGACGCTTGCATGAGGCTGATGCTGACGATGACTTGGAAATCACATACTTCATACCCCATGAAAAAACGACTTCTTATGGACCAGGCGAGAGTAAAAGGCAATGAGAGTAACGGATTAAGAATGTCAGTCATCGCGAGCGAGAGTACAAAGTAGTTAGTGATGGTACGAAGGCTGGTATTACGATAGATGGAGAGTACTACCAGAAGATTTCCTCCAATGGCAATCAGTCCAATAAGGAGTAAAATACTCGTCTCTACAGCGATGGTAGCTGGACTGCGGTTCAGGAACTCCATCATGCTCTTGCTTATGCTGCTTACATTCATCCTAGAAAATTTACCATTTGTTTAAAAGATCAACAGCTTACAAAAAGGGGGATTAACAGTGGTTCGATAGAGTGCATGGCTCTCCTCTAATTATAATATTGAAGTCGATTCTTGCAGAGGGAGGGAAACCGGAGAAAAGTCCTCCGCGAAGAAAAGGACCAAAAAGCAACTCTTTTCACATTCGACGCCAAGTTCGAGAGTTGTCAATTGAAACATGGACGAACGATAAATGAGGATTTTTCAGAAAAAGCTTCAAACTTACCTCTTTGCTACGAAGAAAATGGTCCCCGCGCGCGGAAAAGTAGATTCCGAAAAGAACTGAATTAAGATCAAACGGTGTGAAGAAACGCTTTAAATCACCGTGAACTGAGGACGCATCGAAAATTTCGTCGATCTGGAGATGCACACTGTCAAAAGCCACCTTCTTCGAATCTCATCGACGAAGAAAACATGACGTGTCTACAAAACAGTTGTCATTTACTACACAAATGAGGAAAGCCGAAAAGAAAGAAAGAAGAAAAAACAAACGGTAGTTTTTCAAATTTATCTTCACTGAGACCAAGGATGAAGTTGTGGACAAGAGAAAAACGAACTGAACCATATCACATATATCCTTGTGAAACGACGCCCCAGGTGAACGGTCTCTAAGGAAATGTCAGTCTGTTACGACATTCTTTCGAAATCTGACATTTACACAGAAAACGCTTTTTTACAATAACTTACAAATTTTTCGCGCGCTGATTGGTTATTTTTTATCGTCAATGAGAAGACAGACAGATAAAGCTGACGTCAACGAGCGCGTGCTCTTTCCTTTGGTTGTTTTGATCACTAAAAATGAGAGGTTTTTATCGTTTTTGTTATCAGTGTAAAAAAAACAAATAGACATCAGTTTTTTGTGTCTGTCCTCTTATTGACCATAAATGTCGTCATCACATTGTCAAAGCATAGTTAATTCCCCTCAGTTAACTATGTTCAAAGTAGCTTTGGATCCACGAGGCGTAGCCGTAGCGTGCCGTGACGCAATTTATCGTCAATAAGAGGACAGACACATAAAAAACTGTCTATTTGTTAATTAGCGGTACCTTTCATACATCTTTGGTTCTCTTAACTTTCCGCTTTTAGAATTTGAAGGGGGAAATTAATTTGTAGGAAATCTATTAATTAAATTAAACAATACTTAAAGTACCTATCACCCTTCTGACAATATTCACAGTATTGATTCTACATGGGGTAAGATGTGGAATGACCCGAAAATATTTCATAGTTTGAGTGCATTAGCATTAGCATATGGCATGGAAAAACCTTTATAATTTCAAGAAGCCGCACTCAAACTATGAAATATTTTCGGATTATTCCACATCTTACCCCATGTTACCCAATACTGTGAATATTGTCAGAAGGGTGATAGGCACTTTAATACGTGTACTTATGTGATTAATCATGCTGGAAAAAAAGGTAAAGCACCTATATTTAACGTCGGTAGTTCCTTCAGTTGAAATTCACCTGCTATCAATGGAAGCCGACGGTGCGCACTTTACCCCCTCTCTCCATCAGTGCTCTGTTTTAAGAGTATTTAAAGCTGAAGCTACACGGATTAGAGAGAAGTCGAAACAGATGTGGAGATCCTAAGGATCGAACCATAGACCCCAAGCTCTGAAGATCTCGCACTAACCAACTGAGCTACGCCTACAACTCAAGCAAGCACCTCAAAGGTTTTTCCTGCAAAAGTTTAAAGTCTAAACTCTATTTTTAACTTTTCCATTATTTTTCAAACTACAGATGAATTTGGTCCTTTTCTTTCCTCCACTAGAATTCCAATTCTGTCATTGTAAGGGCCACAGGTTTGCTAGCCAGTAGGTATTTATGACCCAAATATCCGACGTGACGATAATAGGAGGCAAAACTGTGTTAACGCATTTTCAACTGAAGTTTAAGAAAGCTGTTGATATTATACTAAGAACCTATTTCGTAGTTCCCGACCTACTAACAATCGCTCAAGTGGGATACGGAAGCTCAGGACAAGAACCTATTTCAAGTGCTTAAAAAATCTCTAGGATTTTAAACGATTTCAAAATACAAAGGGTTAGAAATTGTTTTGTTGTAGTGGATTTTAACTCTATGTTTTGCTTATATAGTAGTAATTAGATCTTCCTTTTCATTACAATTTTGTAATTATAAGATCTCGGAAAATTATTTTCAAGCGCCTCCATAGATTCACCAATGAACATATATCATATCATACGTGTTTTGACATACATATAGGACAGCTGAAAACAGTCCAAAGTAGTGAAAAATCTTCAAATTGAAGGTGATTGAATGTATGACAGCCTAGATTGAATAGATGTTTTAGGATTGAAAACATCTTTTTCTAATATAGAAAACGCACAGAACATATTTTCATTTTCCACTATGTTCTTCATCAAATTAAGTTCTACAGTTTATTATCTTGGGTTTCGTCTTCTTCTTCATCTTCTTTTTACGTTTTCTTTACTGTCTGGCTCCTCGTGGGAAGATGCGCACGTATTTTCTGCATAAAGTATATCCTGCAGCGATGTGGAGTTTTAGATATATATGGTTGAGAATATTTAAATTTATTGTTGTATGTAAGTCTAGTTATTAGTTGCCTGATGATGGTTTAACATTAAGCCGAAATATTGCATATTTCGACATCTTTGTCTTCTTTTCTTTGGAAATATCTCTTCCTGAAAATGCAGCTATTCGAATTTACTTTCATCTTTTTCTATCTTAAGCTATCTTCTGGGCCCGGTTGTACGAAGCCTGAATAGCGCTATCCGGCGGATAAATCCTTATCCAGTGTATAAGTCGATGCTGTTATCCAATAAATTTATCCACTGGATAAGATTTGTCCGTCGAATAGCACTATCCAGGCTTCGTACAACCGGGCCCTGGTCTCGGTTTTCCCCCAGTTTCGTTCTTACTTTTTTCTTGTTTGCCTTTCATTTCTGAGACATTTACAAAGTAGTTAAAAAGAAAAGTGGAGACTGCTAATTGATATGGAGCCTCCTAGTCCCGCATTCACAGCAGAACTTTGCGCTGGTTACAGGATATTTAGTGCCGCATTCATGACAGAATTTAGAAAGTCTCCCATGATCTTCTGTGTCATGATCTCGTGTATTTGTTCTGTGAACTTGCGCCTTGGGAGGAAAAGGTTTCTTCTTGTTCCCTGTTGATGGTTGATCAGATCTCGATTCATGATAGTCATCAAATTCTGTAGGACTGGTATCACGGACTGCAAAATTCCTGCAACCGAAAACTTAATATAAAATATCGCTTTTCACGCTAAAATTGGTTTCGAAAGTCTTCCAAAATTTTGTTGTTTATCTGTGGCCGTTTTTTTCGTTCTGCTGTTCTTCCGAAAATCGCCAAGACGCGGCAAGCTCAACACTCAAATAGATTTTTTTTGACATGATTAGCTCTCTTTTGGTTGGTTCTGATTGGATGATGAGCAAGATGATGTAATAACAACCTCAAAATGATGCAATTTCGTCGCACTGGATTTGCTGGTGATTTCAAAATTGATATTAATAATTATAAATCTTTTTATCTGCACTTAAAGATTGGCTGCTGTCGATTATTCAATTTTATGAAAAACTGCCACGAATCTCGCTTCTGATTGGTAGAGCGTGCATGCATTATGACATCACAACGTACCTGACACGAGCGTACTCACCTTCTGCTCTTCTTATCAGTCACAGAACCTYTAGTATTATCTAATTGTAGTGCTGATAACTCAGACATGTAGTCTGTTTCATCTTCCTTCGTCTTACTGGCCCTCCGCCCATACTTGATCTCTTTTGCCTTGCTTGCCTCTATATCATACTTTGAGCCTTCTAGCCTCATTTGATTATCTATAGTCTTGTATCTGTTAGAATGATAAGCTAAAACCAAAACAAATATAATTATAGATGCATGAAGTATTGCCTTCTTTAGATTCTCCCATTTTCGACGTTGTACCATTCCCTAGAGTATAGTTTCTTTGTTTAATGCGTGAGCATGAGAAGACACATCAACAAGGATACAACTCAAACAAAGAATCTTGTTCTCAAGAGAATGAAGAGTCGTCTGAAATGGGAAAACATTACGGCTAGTGAAGAGAGGCCAATAAGCCAGTTCATATTTTAAGAATCGTTTCCATTGYGCATGCAATTTTATCCCGAATTTCTCACCTTTTTGTTTAAACCCTTTTTTCGTTATTCATTTATTAAACAAAAGGTGAGAAATTCGGGATAAAATCGATGGCTTATTGACTCGAAGATCTTGTTAGTTACCTAACAATATCTTAATCAGCAATTAACTTACCTTTTTGTTCATTTAATTTACTTTTTGATTGCATTTTTGAAGTTTCTGCCGAAGCCATCCCAGTCAATTTATTTCTCACTACACCTTGTTTAGTGGTGGATGATTGATGGCTTATCTTTGAACTGTTCTCTAAATTGAAAAAAAAGTCATGAAAACCAATAATATAGTCCAGATAAAGGACGATTTTAAGGGGGTGGTTGACACCTAGAAAGCTGCGGTGTATATCTTCCTCTTTTGATTTTATATTTAGCAATTATTCGTTGAAGGCGAATAATTGTTTTAGAATATACCAACTTGTGTACAGAGTAACTTATTTTTATATACAATAATTCAATAAAAACAAACAATCAGAAACTTTTAGTTAGCGTGACAAATTCACGCAAAGCTCTTAGCAAACCTTAGGCCATACTTCGTTGCCTTTTTAGTATTGATAGGAATGGCATTTATTTTCATTTTTTCAATTTCCTCATCGGAAATTGTAGCAAAACGATTGCCGGCAGATGCATTTTGTTGCAGACTCAATATTCTGAGATTCAGAGGTGAATATCGTACAATATTCACCTCCAATTAACCAATGAGCGTGCGCTTTCTAAGGAATTACGCAAGTTGGTATATGCTAATACCTGTTATTCTTATTTTTGAAACTCCAAAGGTGAGTGGTTAGCTACCCAATCTACCCCCAACCGTCCCAAGCTTATACACCTTTACAACTTGGGCATAATGTTTTCCCATGTCAGACCACATCATTCTCTTGACAATAAGATTCTTCATTTGAGTTGTATCCATATTCATGTGCCTTCTCATGTGCAACCATTAAACAAAGAAATGGTAATTTAGGGAATGACATGTGGTCTGAAATGGGAAAACATAATGTCAAAGTTGAAAAGGTCTATTTACAATATATCTACATTACATTACAATATATCATGTTTATTCTTCACTTACCTTGGTGTCTGACAGGTCGTTCATCATATCTTGATATCTGATTTGATTCTGGGGGGGTTGATTTTTCATACTTAGTTTTGGTCTGTCTCGTTTTGCCAGCAGATGACACATTTGTTCCAGAAAGGGGTCTCTTTGCTAACTGAGGAGGTTTATACTAAAGGATTAAGTTAACAAGAGCTTAGTAAAAAAGACAAAACAAAAAAACAAAAACAAACAAACAAACAAACAAACAAACAAAAAAACAAACTGCAAGCAACATCGAGCAATACAGTATGATAACTTATAAATTTTGTAGATGTTAAGCCAAACGTAGATTTGTTCAAATTATAGATATTTTCAGAAAATGAGGTCATTACTGACATCAATAATTTATAACTTTCATTTACAAAAACTTCATGAATACTAGTAGATGTGGGATGAAGCATTTTGAACAGGTTGTGGCTTGAATGCTGTTGTGACATATGCCAGACCAATTGCATTGCACAAGAAGTTAATCTTCATCCAATTAAATACTCAAAGCATCCTATCACCAATGGCATGGACAACGGTCACACCAAGGTAATGGCACTGACAGACCAATCACAGCCAATCAAAATTCTAGAAAACAACATGGTTGCTGCAAGGCAGGCATAAATGTACATTCACTAAGCTTTGAAATCACAGTCATCTGAAAACTGATCTACTGTATACATGGTTYTGTACCTTGGTTCTTGCTGCAAACCTCTGAGCTGCAACACTAGATGCTGATCCTGGTGATCTTCCGATACGACTCTTCTGCTCCTTACAAAACTGAATATGCCGTTCTGCAGAATGTTCATTGAACCTTCTACTACAGTGTGGACACTGAACAAGGTCAGGATCTATTCTGGGAGGAGGGGGTGGAGGAAGTGGGCCACCTGTTTTGGTGGCAGCTGTAATTCCTCTTGCTGAACGAATTGTATTGATAAAATCTTCATGCTTTTGTTTCCAGTTATTCTGAAAATGTATAAAAATTATGCATACTAATTAATAAAGCTTTTTTTATTTTTGTCTAAGCCAGGGTCAGCATTTTAATAAAACCGGAAAACATTTGAAAACCTTCAATTTCATCAATTGAGACCACCCTTAACCAACCTCTGGGGTGATATAAGTTAAGGCATGGCTAACTCACCAATTGAACCCAGAGACAATCTCTGGGCTGACTGAAGTCAAGCCATGGCAAAACTCACACATTGAACACTTGCACCTCTGGGCTGATCAAAGTCAGGGCAAGACTAACTCATACATCAAACCCAGAAGCAACTGCTGGGCTGATCTAAGTCAGGGCACAGCTAACTCATCCATCAAACCCAGAAGCAAAAATGCTGGGCTGATCAAAGTCAGGGCAAGACTAACTCATACATCAAACCCAGAAGCAACTGCTGGGCTGATCAAAGTCAGGGCAAGGCTAACTTACAGATCAAATTGGAATTTAGTGTGTTTCATAGAAAGAGAAAAAGTGGAGAACCAGGAGAAAAAATTGAAATCAGAGAGAGACCTTGCAAACTCTACTCATATGCCTGCAGATCTGAGTCCAGGAATTGAACCTGAGACCTCAGCTATGAGAGTCAAGTGCTCTATCAATAACAATACAAGCCTTGATTTACATTGCATACTACTTTTTTAATATTTGATAAACCAAACTAAATTTTCTACTTAACTCTTTTACTAACTTTTTTACTTTTAATTGGAGGTTTAGATGGATGCAAAGCTTTTGCTTTATCTGCCTCTGTGAGGTCTGATGTTCGCTGTTTAGAGGAATCAAATGGTTTCCTCTTTCTCAAATTGGAGCATATTTTCTCATGGCGAACCTAAAACAAGAATTAAAAATGAATTAACCAGTAAGAATAAATCTAAAATTCTTAGATTATTTATGTATTCCTGGAACTTGCGGAGGTAGAGGGTTTGAGATCAAGCTTACAAACTACTCTCAATTACTTGGTAAAATAGGGACATTGATTGACAGCTGTCACATGCATAATGGTTCAGGAAAAAACCATTTTACAGCTACAACAGGTGGCCCAGCAATTAATGTACATCATAGGAACCTTTCAAGTTTGTCATTTCAATTTTTTTAAATTAAAAAAATACTGTATGAATATTTAAACCTACGTTTCAACTTTCTGACCAATCAACGCACGTGCTATTCTATATCGCTGTAACCAAGCAACGTGCGTCGCGTGATGAAATAGTGAAAACTGCGCATTTATTCATAACACAATTAAGCAGTTATTTGGACAAATCTCCTATGTACACAATTATTGAAAAGAGTTTGTCCGCGCCTCATATGTCCTTGCTATATTCAAAATCTCGGCTCTGCGATCGAAAAGCACGATTTTACAAATATGAAAACAAGCATAAAGTTTGTTACAAGAAATTCTTTTGAGAAGTTCCTTCAATCTCGACTGAACAGCAATTTATTTACATTACTCCCATTGAATTGTGCTAAAAGATCCTAAAAATGTAACTCAATTATGAACTCCAATTTCACTTAAGAAATATAGACCTTCCCTGCACTTTTCTCTTCCACTTACCAACGTATCGCTGATAAACTTTCTTCCACAACTTGAGCATGGATGCAAAGACTCTGGCGACTCAATATCACGAAATGCTGAGAAAAAAAAGAAATAATTTTTGGCCTGAGTTATTCCTCAGCATGATGACAATGGTATATTAACCTACCGTTAATAAAATCCGCCATAAAATGCTCTTAATATCATGACAATCGCAACCCAAACATTTTGTATTGTGGACTTTCTTTTACAAACATGGAATATTGCGCATGCGCGGGATATAAAACACAGGTAGCCCAACCATGGGAGATGTTTGTGAATATTTCCATCAAACAAAAACCTTTAAAACCTTTTTATATCACATTTAGTCTTTTAAGTTTTAAATGATATATAAAAATATCAAAACAATTAGAACACAAGAAAGCGCGCAGCGGGAAACCTAAATATAGATATTGATCTATTGCACGGGCTTCCTGTGGTTGGCATTTGCAAATGGCGGACGCTCGAGGTGAGGAGGCTGATGAAGCTCTCTTAGAACAAGCTATTAAGATGTCTCTTCCTAGTAAAGACGATGATCAAGGAGGAGAAATAAACAGTCCCTTTGCTTCGGAACCGAAAGGTCATCCCGATACATGGGAGGGACCAACGACATTGTTTTTGGGACAATTACAAGAAATGGGGTTTTCGAAGAATGCTTGCATAAAGGTAAAGCAGCTCTTGTAGAGTACTACACAATGGTTGGAAGATTTACATTGTATTTTGAATCATATTATTTATGATTAATATTAAGGGCTGAAACTGTACAGAGTGCAAACAAAACGAATTCAGTAAGAATAATTGTTTTTTCTACAAGCATGCCGCCCCATGTGCCATCACAGGTAGCCCAAGCTTGGTTTCTGTGGTGTCCTGCTATAAGGAAATGTATGGAGATTCATCAAAAATTTCAATAAAATCATTGAAACGTGAAATAAAGCCTCGAAATTCTACCCGATCATTGAGAAATAGCACTTCTTTTGAACTGCGTGGTTATTTTTTGAATTTAGCCCGTTTTAAGATTTTTTCCCTCCACCAGTAAGAAATAAGAGAAGGTTGGAAACTCAAGTCCCAAAAGCGAACCATCACGGGTCTTTGAAACCTCGTACGTCTTCAAATTTTCTTTCCAGCGCCAAATTTTAGTCATGACCCTTCTCTCACATCCCTATAGAACCAAGAAAGTCGCATTAGAGATTAGTCTTCGCGTCTTTAAGCCATGAAATTTGCCTGTATTCACATACTACCTCGCTTGTTCTGACCCGTACTTGGAGCTCACTGTACACCAGTTCAACGGATTTCTTTCGGCAACAGACCCGAGGTCACGCTGGAAGAAATACTTTTGTATCTTAGGCCGTTAAAAAATACACTCACCATAATTTAGAAGAAAGATTATAAAGTTATAAATTATAAGTTAAATACTTTTGTATCTTAGGCCGTTAAAAAATACAGTCACCATAATTTCGAAGAAAGACTATATCCAAATTCAACCCGCATTTACGATACGAAGACTTCCGGCGTGACCTCGGGCCACCTGTGGTGCCATGTGGTCTGAGTTGGTTGGCTCTCAATTTGACTCCAAGGGTTTTTCCCGCTCTCCGGTTTTTCCTCCCTTCTCTCAAATCAACCCTAAAATATTATAGCTGAGCTGTGATACGGGTTAGTACTTCATGTAAGACTACATGAAATGGCACTATTCGATTATTGATTATTGATTATTGATTATAACGTCCTGAAACCCTAATCCAAACCCTTACCTTTAACTTTATTATGAAATAGTGCCATTTCATGTAGTCTTACATGAAGTAGTAACGTTGCTTAAATTTAGTAAGAGGGTAAAGTTTCAGCTGGAAATGTTTTGACTATAGAAGAAATGACCTGTAAGTACAAGTCATCTATTAGGGACTTGTACTTATATTGATGGGTTCCAAGCATTCCCAAGGGATTCAAAAAAGACAAAACATGGCTGCCATTTTGRCCAGTGCTTTTCAAAAAAGGATGCCAATAAGAAATCTTTTGTTGAATTGTACTAATGTTCCCCTGAGAGGCCACAATGACATAACATACATGTACAATCAAAAAATAGGTCAATAGGTCAATAGGTTAATACCCCTTCCCTTATGCCTTCCCCTACCCCATATACCAATAAAAAGATGAGCATCTGTTTAGAGCCACTCTCATCCCTCCCCTCTTTACGGGGAAGCATCTGTGCACTGCTCTCCACAGTAAGGAAGGGGTGAGACATTGTTGTACCCAATCTTGATACTAAAAATACGGCAAGGTAGATATTAGTAAGAATACAATACAGTATAGCTAGTAGACATTAAAAGTATAATTTATCTAATGTACTACTGGTAAACCAGCAAGTTATTATTAGAATTTTTTTATAAATCTAAATCAGATATTCAGTCAAAATCTAAATGTACTTTGATGCATGTTATGAGATTTTGACCTCTTGTATTTCATATCATAACAGGGTCTTTACCACACTCAAAACAAGTCTGTAGATGAAGCAGCTTCATGGATATTGAATAATTCAGATTTAGAAGACATTGATGAACCACTCAAGGTATAAAGTAACCTCATTTTGTATAATTAAAAAACAAGGTTTTTGCATGGCATCTATATGATATCATAGCTATATTATAACACTTTTTGATGTAATATTATATTTTCCAAACTGGGACAAAGTTAGTCAGTATGTTCAAGCTTCTATTGAAATAGCTAACAAATTATTTTTACCGATACTATAGATTGAAGCACAGCCTGACTTGGAAGTTCTTTTATCCGATAAAAAGGAGTATCGCAGTTCATGTAAAATGGTGTTTGTAGTTAATACTGAGTTGCGTATGGGTGTTGGTAAGATAGCAGCACAAGTTGGTCATGCATCCGTATCTCTATATAGAAGGATGTTGGCAGATCAGAATAATTTAAGTCACATTATTCTGCAATGGGAAAACCATGGGTAAGAGAATACTCCAGCTTTGTTCATTGTTAGCAGTGCCCAACCTTATCGGTAGTGGCATTAGTCCTAGTCAAGAATTGGACTAGTCCAACTTCATGCTAACTGATTAACGTAGAACTCAAAAATAGTATGAAGTACTGCACATGCACAAAATACAAAGAAAACTGTGAAAAGTGCTGCAGGGTGGTATCAGTTATTCCTCAATTTTGACATCCCAGGATGTGATGGTGCATGTAAAGAAAATCTTCCACTGGTCCAACTTTTATAGTTGCAGCTCTTAACAGTCTATTTCTGCTACTCTGCTCGTCTCTGCTTCGCATGCACTGATAAAAGTTGGTCCAGCTCTGGGCTACACTAGTCAATTTATGGCTAGAAAAGTTGTCTCTCAGCTAGTAAAAAATTGAGAACCACTAGTCAATAGGCCAGTTTCTGTTCACTAATTTGTAAGCTAGGGCCAGTGATGAAAAAAGTTAAGGGCCAGCTAGCTTTCATTTTGGGTAAGATATTCAAGTTGTTCATGAAGTCTGTGGAATTTTAAAGTGTTTACATTGTTGAAACTGGACATTTTTACTTTACTTTATTTGACACTGACTTGAGGCTAACCCTTACTAATGAGTGTGTAACCAAGAAAGACAATGGTAATTTGGCAAAGAATCTATGATTTATATTTAATTGTTAGACTTTACTTCAAAATGCTCAAAACCTGAAAATGTAGAAACCATTTGATTCCAACTTAAAAAAAAGATACAATGACGGATTTGCTATTTTACAGTACTCTATTCAAAAGTGCAATCGTAAAGATAATAGTTCTGTTCAAAGATATATAATCATAAGTGGTAGTACATAGTGCTTTTGTCTCCTTTCCAGTCAACTCAAGGTTGTCGTTAAAGGAAACAATGTGGCACATTTAATGGATTTGGAACTTCAAGCAGAGAAAGAACGGTTGAAAACCTATCTAGTCTATGATGCTGGCAGAACACAGGTAAGTTCATGTACTTCTTTCTTGTGTGTTGTGTGCACTACTAATGCATGGATCTTTTAATGAAAAAAATTGGCTGTGCAAAACCTTCTTAGAATCATAGCTCCCTCTTGAAAGACGTGTTCTAATAGCGTAATTCACCCTCCAGAATTTCATTAGACAAGTTTAGGAAAGGTCCACCACCTGCTATCCCCAAATTTATCCTCACAACCATACACACTAACTTTCATTAGCTGGCTGTCACTAGCTATTTTTTTACATTTATTAATTAAAAGACAAATGAGAAGGAAAGATACCGGTATACCCGAGCATCCCGATTATCGGCCCTCCCTGGGGTCATATTGATTCATAAAGTTTTTGATGGGCTTATAAATGAGAGAGCTTACAGCCTATGCCGGTGCGGGGGGAGGGGAGGGGAGGGAAGGGGGAGGGCTCAAGTTCAATGTTTGCCCGAGCCCGTAACTAGAGCGGATGCAATAGGCCCTTTGCAGTTAACGGTCACGTGCCTCT